GCCACCTTCCCTCCGCCCTGGAAGGCTCCTCACTTGCGGCCTCCGCGGCCTGCTAACATACAAAGCGAGTGAAAGGCGATGGAAGTACTTTGGTGGAGGCTCTGCGTTTCGGCCTGGAGTACTGCACTGGGCAAGGAGCCCCGGCCACAGTCGCCCCAAAACATCGGGCAAGTCCAAAATTTGGATCTCAGTGCAGAGGCTCAGCCCTGGCCTGCGCCCCGGGGCCCCGTGCCACCCCACACAGGGATTTAGGATTTTGTTCTCACTTGTGCTAAAGAGAGAAAAAACATGACCAACACCCACATCTGGCCTGCAAGGTGGGGCCGGTGCTGCACAGCACTGCCCACCACCATCCCAGCAGCCAGGCTCTGAGTGCGCCCGTTAAAACCTGCACTTCACAGTATTCCATTTCTCTTCAAAATAGAGTTTCCCCAGCAATTGCAGAGATTTCCGTGTATCTGAGCTTTAGAAAGTGAAAGAACATTTTATTTTAAATACCATCACTCTGAAACAGCTAAAATATTCTGTCTTAGCGATATTAAATAAAACTCTGCAGTTTAAATTTAGCTGTGTGTTTTAGCAGACATGCTTGCAGTCCCTGGTTCTTCTGACTCTAAAACAACTGTGAAAGTAGAGAAAATATAAATATTAATATTCCAGCAAGATGCAACTGTATATTCATAGAAAATAAATATTTATGAAATTCCTAGAACTAAAACCTTGTCCTCACCACAGCAGGTGCTTGTTTGTCAGATCTTAAATTTTTGCAAAGCCCATGTGGATGATGACTCCTCGCATGCTCGTCTCCACCTCTCAAACAGAGAGTTATGATGTGCTCAGTATTCATGGAAGCCTGACATGTAAAAAAATACATTGAAGGTAAATAAGGCTTCTTTGCTTTAAAAAAATTGATTTTTTATAACATTGATAACATTTGCCACTTGCCTTTCAGCCACTTATTTCTGCGTTTTTATTGAACATGGCTCGGAGTAAAGAGGGTATAATAGATACCCAAGAGAACACACCACTACTCTATTGGGAAAACAGCTGATTAAGCTCTCTAACAAAGCTGATCCCTCTGTATGGCTATCTACAGACTTCAACAGTTTGTTAAAGTAACTAAAGATTTCAAATTACATGTTTGACTCCAGGAGTAGGACAGATTTGTTTCCTCTCAAATTGATAACAGAAGTTTTGGTGAGAAAAGCAGGACAGCAGTAGCAGAAGGAAAGGCCCTTGTCTTGCAGTCTTACCAGCATCCCATTTCTTATTCACTCAACCCCTCCACACAGAAAACCTTTCCTGGTTGTAGATCTGTGGTGCTGGATCAGTCACATGTTTGAAACTAAAAAGAAGTAGAAAATAAGTTGTTCTGGCAAGGACGGAGCTTTCTTACCTCTTCCCTTCCCTACCCCAAATGTGGAATCTCATGTTCTTGAATATTGTGCCCAGCATTAGATTTATTATGTCATTTTCCAGCTCACCTGATTCATCACAGGACATTTACAACTCTTCTACAAATGCTACGCTAATTCAAAGTGTTTACCACATTTCCCTAATAAAAGCTTAAAAAAATCCTGCTCTAGTCATTCAGGTTTTCGTGCCAAATCCATACCCAAAACGTGAACAACATCCAGCTTTAAAATAGATACAAATATTGCCTATTGTGCGAATTTATTGAGATTCTTGTGGTTTTACAGTAGCCTTTGAATTGAAGTGAGTCACTGCAAATGTGATGTGGTGAGACAGTAACTCCACTCAGGCCACTACCTTTAGCGTCTTCCCAGCAATTTCACTAGGGCTTGTGCCTGGCTTTCCTCGCCAACCCCTCCTATTTGACCCACGCTTGCCTTTGTTTCCTCCAAGAGGGATGGTAACAACAGCAGCGTGTAAAAGCTGATCAAGAAAGGGGAAATTGTGAAGCACACAACAGCTATGACACGTTGCGTATGCCACAATGTCTACACCCTGTTGTAGCAGCTGACCCTGGCCCTCATGATCTGCTGCTCCTCAGGGAGAACATTGTCCTGAGAGAGAGAGAGAGAGAGAGGTATTGGTCAAATCCTGGATGCTTGTACTTGTTAAGTTTGATTCCTTTAGCCTAGCTGCAGAATATTTTGTGACTTACAGCTAATGCTAATTTCAGCAAACAGTATTCTGCACTGTCCTGCCCGTGCTGTTGAGATTCCACTCAGGACAATTCCTGTAAATCAGAGTGCTTCGTTTGCATCGTCTGCTCCAGCCTGGAGTTTCCTTTTGCTTTCAGAGGCTTGCAGCCAAGTGACAGCACCTGTTTCCCCTTCTTCCCCCCAATTCCTGACATGCAGGCCTTTGGTGTCTTGCCTGTCTCCAGGAGCAGAACAAAATATGGAATGAGAAAGCACTTCAAAATGAGAACTCTCTGCTTTAATATTTTCTGGCAATATATCTTGAAAAATCTATGTAGGAAAAAAAATGTTAACAATTATAATGCAGATCAAATATTGGACCTGAACCACATGACTGTTTCCCTTCTAACTTAATGCACAGACATCTTAAACCAAGGGTGTGAGTGGGCTGAAACAACTAATCGCATTTTGGCACAGACAAGTACAAAAGGCAACCCAGAACTACTAATTCAACAGCTTGAAATATCAGCTGCTGCATGCAAGATCTTTAAAGAGCTCCTCTGAAGAGAACATACCCTTTTAAACTTGTAATTTTTCATTTAAAAAATGTCAGAAAATATCTCAGCGAAAATACGGAAGAAACCAGCATTGTTGATATAAAACCTGAATCCACTGAAGGCTAATAGACATAAAGTACCCTTGCCTCTGCACCTAATTTCGTCACATATATTCCTCTCAGCTATCAGGGTCCTATCACATATTTTCTGTATTTCCCATGCATGTGTTCAGAAATTTTGTTCAGCCATAAAAAACAGCTCTAAAATGGGAGAAGTCATGTGAAAGGTAAAGCAGTTCAAGGAGGCATAGTAACATCCTACAAAGGAGTGTCCCCCCGTGGCTTCAGGGCTGCAGCGTTTGGACACGTCTTTGCTCTGAATACTTGCTGAGGACCTTCGCTACGGGACTCCCTCTGTGGCTCCTTGGGGACCATATAACTGAAGGCACAAAGCAGCATATTCATTTGCTCTTCACAGGGAAAGTAAGTGAATAGCTACGATTCTCTGACAGCTACGATTCTCTATCTCCTGATAACTCCTCTGTAGCTAAATGGGTACAGCCCTGCCACTAGGGAGGTGTTTCCGTGTCGCAGCACCCTTTTTCACCATTATAACACGAATGACCCAACTGCATTTGACATCTCTGTTGCACTCTTCCTCTGGGATCAGCAGCTGATTTAAGTGACTCAGAAACAGCTTCTGCAAAGCTGAGTATTATCGAAAAGTTATCTGTTCACCCAAATGACACACGGCAACCAGATGAAAATGAGAAAAAGACTCCATCCGTTCCTTGCTGATGCTGTATCTTTCCCTTCAGATTTTGAGTAAATTACACTGAGAGCAGCTACCTTGTTCCTTGATGTGTGGGAGGGAAGACAGCTTCTCTTCTGCCTCGTTCTCTTCGTTACTGCAGACTTTGATCCTGTGCTTGGACCAGATGAAGAGAAGCCTAACAGAGTAGGTAGAGACAAATAGGCATGCCCACCGTTATTGGTTCTACCATTGACCTCTTCCAGTCTGCTGGTATTTTCATATTAACCTTATCTGTCATCATTTTGCGTTTTCTTTGAAAAATAAAAGTCTTCCTGCTCTGACCCACAGAACAGCAAAAAGCGCATAAATGGGTAAGGGAATTCCTTTGTTTTTCATATAGGTAATAAATCTAAAAGCCAAAAATCTGATCTCTTAAATAAAAAATCAGAGAGTATGATTCCACGAGACATAGGAAGTTTGCTGATGCTAAAAGGGCAGGATCCAGCTCACTCTTCAAGTCTTGTCCTTCCTTCTCTACTGCTGGCTGCACATCCTCCTACCTTGTGCTGGCTCCGCCATTCATTGAGAGCAGGTATGAGTCACTGAACTAGTAGAAAAACAATCCATCAAAAAGTGAATAGTTTTCTGCCATGTGAAGAAATTTGGAGAAGGGTCTGACAAGCATCTGAATGAGCACAGCCAGGAAGTTGGACTGTGCAATTAGAACTGAGGGAGAAGTAGGGAGGAAGGCAGGAAGGGTGAGATGTTCTTTTAGAGGGAGAAAGCTCAGTCAGTGGCTGATTCTGTAAGTAAAACTCAGAAGAAGGGAAGGAAGGGAAAAAGAACAGTTTTGAAGGCCGCTTATAATAGCAGCATCTCAAGTCCTTCTTGGTCTGCAGGAGGGCATTGGAGCTGTCCTGGCAAACATCTCATGCTGCTCATAAACAGCTCTGAGCCTATGGATCTTCAGCTGCTCCTGTCCAGCCTCAGCAAAGCTGCATTTAAGATAAAGTGGCTGAACATGCATTAAAAATTAGTTACTAGGAAAAAGGAAGCATTTTTTTTCCTCAGCAGTACTTCTCAATGTCAAGGAGCTACTGGCAGTGCTTAGCCTCTGGGACTATGCCTAAAGAGCTGCAGCAGAGAAAAGCTCTCACTTCGTGTATGTAAGTGCCAGGTTGCTGCTCCCCATCCCACCCAGGCACAGAAATGGCCCTAGAGATCCACCTGTTTTAACCTTCAGGCTTTATTACCATTAATTATATCTAGAAATGAAGCCAGGATCCCTGAGAACACGGTGGCAGGAACAAAACACAATCATCCATCTGCCTAGCAACACGGGTTGCCATGAGTACTTCTCCCCATGCTCCACAGGCAGCGGGGGCTCGCCACTGAACACCGAGCCAAGTTCACGGGCCCTGTACTGGTAAAGAAAGCCTGCTTCCTCAAATGAAGACCTTGGTTTCCATATCCAAGACACCTCTGCTCCTCTGGAGCCTAGAAGGTATCAGCCAGCAGCCTGAAATTCAGGAATGAGGGACTTCTGGAGCAGCAAGATGTCGTTAGTGTAACTGCTCTTGCAAGAAATAAAAGCAGTGACATTGGCAACATGAATGCAAACTCCATTCTTCCCTTCTTTGTTTCTTTTGAAAAAGTTCTTTGCACATGTTTCAATGCCATGCCAAAAAAATCACCAAAGAACATACTATCAAATCACTGAATTTATGTAAAGAAAGAAAAGGAAGAAAAGAAGAAAAACCCATGAGTGGTATTGAATACATGGAAATACTCTTTAACATCCCTAGCTTAGGAAGTCCTTGAATCACAAACCATTTGTAGGAGGCTGAGAGAGAGCCATTTGCCTGGTTCTCTGCTGAGCTCCTGCTTTAGGCCTCACTAGGAAAAAGGATGCTGAAGGAGGTAGACCTTTGGTATGACCCAGAAGCCTCACTTTGGTGTTCTTAAAAAAGCAAAAGACTCTGATCATTGCTTAAGGGATGCCCTCTAACAATGTAGTTATCCAGCAGCTGTGAAAAATAGAGAAATATGAGGAAAACACAAAGTCGTAGGTTTCAGACTAACATTTGGACAATTACAATTGAATGGGAATACTGAACACGTGAACTAAGTTTATGTTACCAACATTGTGAATTGAGACTTTAAAAAAAGCTCTTATTTCATTGGTAGCTATATGATAGCATGCAATTTAAGGGTATAAAGGCCATAGCGTGGGTAAATTGGCCCAAAGTATATTTTACAAAGCCATCAGCCATGACACAGAAGTAGTTAGCTTTGGGATGAGAGGAGGAACTAAGGCTACACATCTGAATGATCATACATGGCACTTACTCAGTTTACATGAGGCATGATATAGTACTTTTTAATACTCATAGAAAATCCTCCTAGTGTATGAATAGCAGAACTACATTATTTTAGATCATCTGTCAAGATTATTTGAGCATGGAGGTAATGCTGCACTCACTAGGTTAGTAATAATCAAAATCAAAATGGACCTGGGTATAAGAAAACCCATCAATTTAAGCACTTAAGATTTTTCTGTTTTCTTCAGAATGCAAGTTTTCATTTATTAAAAAAAAAACATTCTAGACCCTCTGCTTGTGAAGATAATGTTTGGAGAATTTATGTAGCATTACCCTTTTAAATCTACAGTAGGACAGTAAAGGAGAAAATCATATTCCCTTAACAAGTCCCATTGTCATGGTTTAACCTGGCTGGCAACTCAGCACCACGCAGCCGCTCGCTCACTCCCCCCTCCCTCAGTGGGGTGGGGGAGAGAATCGAGAAGGAGAAAAAAGGTTAGAGCCATGGGCTGAGATAAAGACAGTTTAATAAGAAAAAAAAAGAATAACAGTAATAATGAGAATGGTAACAGAATATACAGAATATACAAAACGAATGATGCACAATGCACTTGCTCACCACCCGCCGACCGATGCCCAGCCCGTCCCGAGCAGCAATCACTCCCCGAGCCACGATCAGTCCCCGAGCCGCGATCCCCGCAACCAACCGACCAACTAACACCCCCCTGAGCCTGACGTTATATGGTATGGAATAGCCCTTTGGTCAGTTTGGGTTAGCTGTCCTAGCTGTGCTGAACTCCCAGCTTGTTACGCACCTGGCTGAGCAGGAGAAGCTCAAAAAGTCCTTGAGTAGTCTGAGCACTACTTGGCAACAACTAAAAACATCAGTGTGTTATCAACATTCTTGTAGTACTAAATCCAAAACACAGCATTATGCTAGCTACTATGAAAGAAATTAACTCTATCCCAGCTGAAACCAGGACACGCATTAACTTTATGTGTTCAGGATTTCACTTTACAAGCCTGACCCCACTACCTGCTTATGGTAACTTCAGAATTCCAGTGGGAATAAGGTTAAAGTCTGTAGGACAGATCTTACTTTGATTCACAATTTACTCGTCTCCACTGACATAAATGGCATACCATTAAGACTAGTGTTATAGCATAAGCATCACCTCAATGCTCCTTCGTCTCAGGGGTTTTTTTTATTCAAAGGGCTAATTGCATGGCTAGCTTGTTTTTCCAGGTTTGTGACATTTTCTTATTACTTAAAAATAAGCTTTAACTTTGCAGAGATTAAATTAATTTCCATGCTTAAATAGTCTTAACTCTGATCTAACTAGAGATACTGCACAGAAAATGTTTTGTAAACTGTCCTGTATAGAAAGTCACTTTGAAATAAAAATATACTTTGTTGCATAAGATGGGGAAAAGGGAACAGAATTAAGACACATCCAAGGAATATTTTCTCTACCTTTAGAATAAGAAAGTAATTGAGCTCCTGCTTGATTCTCTCACAAGGGATAGGGGACTTCGATGCACTGTGGCCAGAAAACAGATAACTGTATTAATGAAAATCTAATCTGTGCTCAGAGGCTTTGCATGTTGGCTATGATGTAAAATATTCATACCACAATAGACTGTTACACCGTCAAAAGCTGAAGTTCAGCCAATTTTACCAAGAGAGGTTGACATTTTGCTGTATTCTTCATTTTAGGGAACAGGAAAAGTAAGCCATCAAAACTGCTCCTCCACTTGTAAATTTTGCCAGTGTAGCTATTTAGATATGTCATAAATCTAGAATTAGGAAACATTTGTCTACTGAGCCATTTAGACACAGTAAGTCAAGCCCGAGAGAGGTAACAAATACTTTGGATGGGTTGAGTTTTCAGTGGCAGTGTGCCCAGAGGGCAAGCAAGAGGCACCACCTGCTTTTGTAGCATCTTCTCTGCCATGAAAGGATCTGAGTAGGAAACTGATTTAGCTAAAAAATACTCTTTGTTGTTATTGTTATTGCCAGGTTGTGCACTGGGCTAGCACAGCAGAAGGGACAGCACAAGAACAACTGACCAGGGCTGAGGAAACACAGACCTGCCACCGAGCACCAGCCTGAGGCTTTCAGCACAATCCTCCATCAGTGGGTGGAAGGGGCTGGGTTGCCTTCACCCAACTCAGAAGTCTGCTATTCTGAACCAGCTCTGTTCACATGGAGACCCACTGAGGAAGCAAAAGCAGACCTTGAAAAGAGAAGCATCATCATTTATTAGACTAGCTGACAGAGCTGTCAAAAGACCTATGATCCCTTGTTCAGCTCTGAAATAGAAGTTGCAGACAGAATACAGTGGCCATGACTTTCAAACAAATTTACCTTTATTATGTTAAATCACTTGGACTATTGGAGTGAAATGGCTAGTTGGTACCTGCAAGGTAGAGGTGTTTGCAAAGGAAGACACGATAAGGACATCAGCCTTGTGGGACAGAAGGACAAGCAGTTGTCACATGCAGAGCCCTAAGGAGTGAGGAAAACTGCAGCATGCTAAACTGATTCTAATAGATACTGTAGATGGATGCAGATAAAGGAGACTTAACAGGAAGAGGCACTTAAATATCCTGATAAAGCCATTTAAATTGTCTTAGGGTTGGACATTCAGAGCTGCATCATGTAAGCACTTATGAAGCTGTGCAATGAACCACACCAGGGAAATTACAAACAACCTGAAAAATAACCCTGGAAAAACAAATAGGCAACAAAGTATTAATGGGTTATTTCTGTAGGAGATGAGTTCTCATTTGCTGAATAGCCACATAAATACTTGCACAGCATAACATAGGGAGCAACAACTGCTTAAGCCACAGTTGCTGATCAGACAGTGGC